GTTTTGGGAACGTTCTGAGAGCTAGAATTGTTAGCTGGGTATAAAATATGTGTGTTCACACAATTCACGCTCCAATTGAAACAACTGAAAGTACTTTGAAGATTTTGTATGTTTATATTTAGTGTTTTTCGATGTTAACACACACTTAAATCTGTTTCCCTTGCACAGGCCAAGAAAATCCCAGCTGAAACTATCTGTGATAATAGCGATTTAAGGATGACAATCTCAGTAATTCTCGGCTCAAACACTTTTGAGCACCCTGAGACTCTCTGGCGCTGATGCTCGGGTTATTTTGGGAAGGCTGGATGTGTCTGCTGGAGGGTGTGAGGACGTTTGCTCCCGGTGAGAGTCAGGTCAGTGTTTACGAGCGCAGACACTGCAGCAGTTATCAGAGGAGGCAGATGCTCATTACCACCGCATGAGAGACAATTATTACACTATCAACATCTGAATGATGCTTTAACTTCATGTCAAATTCAATGTCGGCGCATTTATTCTGGAAATAGAACGAAAATGATTGAGCAAACAGAAGGATGAGGGGTCACAGGAGGGCCTGTGTTTTGCTGATTGTGCACTTGCATTTCTATATCTATAAATTAAAGTATCCACCTTATTTTAATGTATTTTAATATATTTTTTGTAATCATAAACACACTGGTTTGTAGTGCAGATAGCTTTGCTTATAACTGAACTTTGTTTACCTCTAGCGGCCCATGAATAAATAAAAAAATTTATAAACACACACAAATATATATATATATATATATTCTGCATTATTTTTAGTCTGGACTGATTTGGGTTGAAGTGTCATTAGAACCAACAGACATCATTTTGAAAATGTTATACATTTTTATTTCAGTTTTAGTTTTAGTTACTTTAGTACATCAAGTTAAACTAAATAACAAAGAAAAATGTTGGCAATTAGATGAATTATTCTTTTATATATATATATATATATATATTACTTTTTCAGTTAAAATTTACTTTATTTCAAGTAATTCAAGATTTTAGATTTAGTTAACTTTAATAACCCTGTGTGATGCTTAGATGTGTTCAGATATGGTAATTTATTTAAAAATACATAAAAACAGATCATGATAAAATACGTGTTCAAAAGAGATAATGATGTGAATACATCTCTGCTATGCAAATTTTTATAAAAAAAAAATTCAAGGCTTTAAATGGAAAAACACTGCTTACTAAATGTTGATTTTATTAAATAATAAGCACATATAAATATTTTATAATATACTATCAGCATCTGTGCACAATCATTTTTAATAAATCCTTATGTAGCCATATAGACAATCATGCAGCTGAGAGTTTAAGTAACAAGCTGACGTTCAATACTTAAAGTTAGAGTTTTGAGATCACTAGAAATACTAGAAGTATTAATGATGCTTGACTCTAGTCAAATATGAACATGCTGTTTCTCTGTAGCATCATTCTCAGCAGCACTGCATCGACACAGCAGAATTAAGACGGCCGTTAGCTGGATAAACTCACCATGAAGACATGGTGAGACAAACACAATTATAAACGCAATTTTCAGATCTCTCCCCAAACGATTGGAGCAGGAGCAGGTCTAATCTGGTTTGCTCATTGGATGTTATGGGGTAATTTTAGAGGTCTTTTGGGCCGCCGCGCGTCCAAGTCAGAAACTCCGGCCAACAGATTTGTTCCAAATGGAAAAGCTTGGTACCAGATGACTCTGAGAGGAATGATAGATCGTTGCGCGGGAGATGCGGCGCTTTCAGGCCTTGCCAGGATCTCCTGGCAGAGAGGATGCTGGGTAACGGGCAGCATTCATGCTTCAGGTATACAAATGTGTCTAAACACAGATGACCTCCTTTAGTTTAGTCCTGTCAGTCTGCACAAAAAATCCCATGATGCAGCAGTTTCGGTAACGTCTGCTTTTTTCGCTCATGCAAACGCTTCCTCAGACGCCTCAGACATCAGTCTGAATGTCACACACGAGCCGTCAACATGACGAGATCAAATGGAGACTAATAGCTGCCGTCTGCAGAGGAACTGATGCGATCATGTGTCAACAACAGCGCGTCTCTCCGCTGGCACTAATTGATCAGACGTGATTTCCCATCATTCCTGCAGGGAAAACTCGCGTCCTCTGCGCTGTCATGGTTATGGTTCAGAATTAAGGTCAAAGGTCACGATTATTTATGTAGCTTTATAAAATACAGATTGTTTCAAATCAGCTTCATAGAAATAAACAGGAAAAACGATCATTTAAAAAACGCAACAAATTCAATTTCAGCTGGAAAGCAGCTCTACAGAAGACAATAGAGTCATTATTTAGTTCCATTTAGTTCAGTGTTGATTTAATTCAGTTTAATAGCAGTGTGTTTCAAAGTTCATCAATTATGAAAAATTCAATTTCAGCTGTAAAGCAGCTCTAAAAAAAGACAATAACATCATTATTAAATTCACTTTAGTTCAATGATTCAGGTCAGCTCAAAAACTGTCAATATTGACAATAGTGTCATTAGATTAGTTCAACAGCAGTGTCAATGTTGCAAAATTCATCAATTATGAAATTATTTAAGCAGTTAATCTACTCTACAGAAGACAACAATGCCTTTATTCAGCTCAAATGAAGTTAAATGGTAATTCAGTTCAGTTCAATAACCATATCAGTGTAGTAAAATTAATCAATTATGAAAAATTCAATTCATAATTCACATCAATTCAATTCATTATCTAGCTCAGTTTAGTTCAATTTTTGTTTCAATTTACTTCAGTAAAATACCTCAGTAAATGTAAAACAAATTCAATTTCAGATGTAAAGCAGCTCTATGGAGGACAATATCGTCATTATTCAACTCAATTCAGTTTGATCTTAAATCAATTATGTTCAATAACAGTATCAAGGTGGCAAAATTAA